AACCCTGGGATCATGACCTGAGCTGAAATCAAGAGTTAGACACTTAACCCAGGCGCCCTATCATGTTCTTTCTGTATATAAGGTTTTCTTTAACATTTCTTGAAGTGTAAATCTGTTAGTGATTAATTCCTTCAGCTTTTGTATGTCTCAGAAAAATCTTTATTTTGCCTTTCATTTTTGAAATATATTCTTGCTAGGTGTAGAATTCTAAGTTGACAGTTTTCTTCTTCAATACTTTAAAGATATTGTGTTAGTCTTCTGGCTTACATTGTTTCCTATGAAAAAATCTTTCATCATTCTTATTTTTGTTCCTTTGCATATAATATGTCTCTTTTCTCTGTCTGCTTCTAAGATTTCCTCTTTATTATTGGTTTTAAGCAATTTGATTAAGATATGCATTGGTGTTGTTTTCTTCATATATTTGTACTCAGAGATTATTGAGCTTCCTAGATCTGTGGAGTTACAGTTTTCATCAAATTTTGAAACTTCTCAACCAATATCTCTTCACATATTTTTTATGCTATCCCATCCCTGCCTCTTTTTCAGGAACTCCAATTACACATACATTAGGCCACTTTAAGTTATTCCTCAAATCATGATGCTTTGTTCATTTTCTTTAGTCTCTCTCTCTTGTTTCATTTCAAACAGTTTCTATTGTTGTACTTTCAAATTCACTAATCTTTGTTCCTGTAATATCTGATTTGTTTTTAGTCTCATCCAGTGACTCACCTCATACATTTTTGTTTTCATCTCTAGAATTTTGAGTCTTTCTTTATATCCTCTGTGTCTCTCCTTGACATGTTCCTTTACCTCCTTGAACATATGGAATATAGTTTTAATAAACTCTTTTTATATCCCTGTCTCTTAATTTTATCCCCTGTGTCATTTCTGTGTCTGCTTCCATTGATTAACTTTTCTCCTCAGTATGAGCCATGTTTTCCTGCTTCTTTGAATGCTATGTAGTTTTTAATTAGATACCAAACATTGTGATTGTTACTTTGGTCAGGGTTGTATAGTTTTTTTTATTTCTATAAATATTCCTAAACTCTGTTCTGGAATGCAGTTAAATTACTTGGAAACAATTTGATCCTTTAATCTAAGGCTAAATTTGTCCCAATGCTAACACTACACTCTTCTAAGTATTTTACCCAATGCCTTGTGAATTATGAGAATTTTTCACTCTGAATTTTTCACCCCATATACACTCCACAGATTGTTTCTTCTAATTCTTTCAGGTAGTATCTTCCCTGGCCTTACTTTCATCACATGCCTATGCTGATCAGCACTCAGATTAAGATTCATGGGGGTACACCTTAAATTTACACAATGTCTATGTCAGTTATATCTCAGTACAGCCCGGAAAAGATTCAAGAGGAATCCTCTGAAGCTCTCTGGAACTCTTAGTGTAGCTCTTTCCTCTTTGGTACTCTGGGCTGCAAACTCTAGCCGCCTGGGTCTGCCCAGACTCCTAACTTTTTCTCATCAATTGAAGGAGGTTTTCAGGCACCACCTGGGTTCTCCTTCCCTGCTCTGTGGCAAAATATCCAAGCAATAAGCTGGGGCAATAGTAGGATCACCTTGTTTGTGCCAGCTCTCTCAGGGTTCACTATTCTGTGCTGCCTGAAAACTATTGTTTCATATATTTTGTCCAGTTTTTAGTTGTTCTTAGTGGGAAGGGAAATCTGGTCCCTGTTACTCCATCTTTCTTTTTTTTAATACAGATTTTAATATCTTAATTATTTCATAGTAATTTCTTCCAGATGACTTCTTTTGTGACCTGACTCACAGAGCTTTCCATTGGATTTTTCATTTAAAAATCCAGGTAATTGCATTTATTGAGCATCTCTGATGTGCCAGGGATCTCCTAAGTACTTTACGTGTATTTACATGTATTACAAAATTCCTGTCCTGTGGAAATAACACAGCATTATTAACTTTCTTCTTGGACCGGGCAAGACTTTACCTTGATATTCCATTGTATATGTATACTATACTTTCTTTATCTATTCATCCATTAGTAAACACTTAGGTTGTTTCCATATCTTAGCTATTATAAATAATGTTGCAATGAACATGGGAATACATGTATCTTTTCAAGTTAGCGTTTTTGTTTACTTTAGGTAAGTACCCAGATGAAATTGCTGGATCATATGGTAGCCCCATTTTTAATTTTTTGAGTTTTCCATAATGGCTGCACCAATTTACGCTCCCACCAGCAATGCACCAGGGTTTTCTTTTCTCCATATCCTCATCACATTTGTTACTTCTTGTCTTTTTGATAAAAGCCATTCTAACAGGTGTGAGGATATCTCATTGTGGTTTTGATTTGTATTTTTTTGATGATTAGTGGATGTTGAACATCTTTTCATGTACCTGTTGGCCATCTATATGTCTTCTTTGGAAAAATGTCTATTCAGATCTTCTGCCCATTTTTTAATTAGATAGTTATTTTGTGTTTGTTGCCAGAGGGAAGGAGCATGGGGCAATGGGCAAAATGGATGAAAGGGAGTGGGAGATATAAGCAACAGTTATGGAATGAATAAGTCATGGGAATAAAAGGTACAGCATGGAGAATATAGCCAATGATATTGTAATAGCGATGTAACAGGACAAATTGTATCTACATATGTGGTGAGCATAGCATAATGTATAGAGATGTTTAATTACTATGTTGTACACCTGAAACTAATGTAATATTGTGTGTCAACTATACTCACATAAAAAAATTTTAATAAAAATAAAAAAATAAACTAGCCTCTCCTTTCCCCAACTAAGTCACTCTCCGTAACATTACTCTGTTTATCTTCTTCCTAGATAGCATTTGCCACTGACTGAAATTATTTTGCTTATTTGTTCACTTGTTTATTGTCTATATCCTTTTATATGAATTAGTATGCTCTGGCTGCAGGTAATAGAAACCCCCAACTCACTTTAAAATATGAAATTTATTATCTCATATGACTAGATGTCCAACAATAGGGAAGGCTCTAGGCAAGGGAGAATGAGTAGTTTAAAAATGACATTTAAGGGGCGCCTGGCTGGCTCAGTTGGCTGAGCATCCAACTCTTGAGATAGAGCCCCGCAGCAGGCTCTGCACTCAGTGGAGAGTCTGCTTGAGATTCTCCCTCTTCTTCACCCTCTGCTCCTCCCCCTGCTCTCTCTCTCAAATAAATAAATAAATAAATAATTTTTAAATGACATTCAAGGACCCAAATTCTTTCAGTCTCTATGTTCTACCATCTTTATTGTCTAGCTTCATTCTCCTCTGGCTTCCCTCATGGTTGCAAAATGGTTGCAGTGGTTCCAGGTGTCACATACAAACCCAACAATGGCCAGAGAGAAAAGATGCTATCTCTTCCTATATGTTTTCTAAAATTGGTGGGAAGTCTTTCTTCACAGTCCTCATTAGATTTTCTCCAATTTTTCATTAGTCAGTATTGGGTCATTTGCATGGAGATGGTGTAGACCAATTACTCCTAATGGAAAAGATGTTAGAAAGTCAACCACCATAACCACATAAATGATCAGTAGAACTTCAGGATGTTGTCTATCTCCTTCATGATTATAGTTCCAAAGCCTAGAGTAGTACTTGGCATACAATAGGTGCTCATTTAATAAATAAGTCCATTTAAGTAAGTAGCATTGGAAGAGGAAACAAAGCTAACATTTGTTGAGTGCCTACTAAATGCCAGACACACAACATGATCTTTATTATCATTTACTTCTCAAAACAACTTTTTTTTTAAGCTATTATTATTCTTTTACACAAAGAAAACTAATGCTTAGGAGATGAAGAACTTTGACCAAGATCATAAAGCCAGTCAGTCAGAGGACTAGGATTTGAGACTATGGGCATCTGGATCTAAAGGCCATACATTTCCCACTACAACCTAATTAACAAAAGGTATTCTTTCCTTTTCAGAAACAACTGGACAAACATGTCAATCCCATATGAAGAACATCTAAAGAAAATCTGATTAAATTCATGCTTAAGCCTGGAAGTTATCAGGAAACCAGCGACAGTCTTTCACTGATATTACTGAAATTGTATCCCTTACCCTATCACTTGTTTATTTTCAAAATATAATCAGATGGCTGTATGCTCTGGTAAAATCAGGCAAAGGACAAGTTAAAGGGCGCCTGGGTGGCTCAGTCGGTTAAGCGTCTGCCTTTGGCTCAGGTCATGATCTCAGGTTCCTGGGATTCAGCCCAGCATCCGGCTCCCTGCTCAGCCCGGAGTCCAATTCTCCCTCTCCCTCTGCCCCGACTTGTGCTTGCTCTCACCGTCTCTCTCGCTCTCTTTCAAATAAATAAATAAAATCTTAAAAAAAAAAAAGGACAAATTGAAAAGGTATTTTTCCCCTTAAGACTAAAACGAGTTCACAGAAGTGTTTGAAATGTCTGCATAAAGTATTTGGACAAAACACTTTTTGTTTTTCTCCTATTAATCTATTTGTCTTTGGTAAAGTGTTTGGATAAAACACTGGTATTTTGAAAGCTAAACTGTGGGAAATCTGGAAGATCAGGTCTATTTCTGATTTGGCCGTGTATTGTGGGCAGCTTGATAATAAGGGGGGCTTAATAGGGTCGACACCGCTTATGCATGCACCAATCATGCAATCCACAATTACGGACAACATTGTGCCTATGTTGAGCAATAGGAGACCCACCGGCTACAAATACATCAAAATTCCTAGCTTTCTGTGATTACATCCATCTTTCTGTTGCCTTCTGCTGGGGAAAACAAAGAAGAAAGGAGGAGGCTTCAGTATTCAAATACTGCCAGATCAGTTGTGAACTCGCAAAGTGGTCACCCTCAGAATTGGAAGAACCGGATTCGAAGACAGGCAGTCTTTGAGGTTTATAGGGATCCCCAGCAAAGGGCGCGGCTACTTCCTGAGCCACACCGGAACCTTTGGGTGGGCTATATGGGTTCCAGAGGGAACGACTTAGGAACAGGATCACTTCCGCTGCTGAAGAGAAGAGAGGGGTGGGGAGGAAATAGCTCGAGGATCTGCATCCTGCTTGCGCTAGCCGCGGGTGCGAAGCAGGCAGACAGCGGGCGGGGGGTGGAGGAGGCTGAGGGGGCGGCGGCAGAGAAGAAAGTGGCAGAGCCGGTAAGTTAGCCGCCTTAGAGCAGGGGACAGTGGACAGCGCCCAGGGCTTGCTTTGCAAATCTTGTCCTAAGTTGTTGAGCTGCCGGGTGGGGTAGGGGGCCGGACTTCGTCCGCCGTCTGTCAGTCGGTGGCGAGAAGGGGCTCTTGGGGCGCTGGGGCTGGGCCTCGCGGGGCACTAGACTGTGCCGAGCTGGCTGACAGCCCTACCCCGGAGCCCGAGGAGGCGGGGGATTCTCACCCTGGACAGCTTCCCCGGACAAGGGCTGGAATTCGGGGGGAAGGAAATGGGTACTGTGCGTCCCATTTAACCCTCGGGACCTAGCGAGTTCTTCCAAGTGGGTGGTGGATATTGTTTCGAGCACTGAGGGAAGGGCTTGTAAAGAGAATGTTAGTCTGGAACCAGAGCTTATCTGCCCTGTTCGTGCTGCCCGGCAGTCGGAAGTGGAGTTGTTTTTAAGGGCAAATGCCACCCCCTGCTCTTGTTACTTCGGGACAAGTTAGAGCTTCAGATCCGTTGTTAAACCTGCGTGTTCCCTATCCGATCTATCATGTCAATACTGCTGTGGGTATCTGGTAAATGTTCTGTAAGTATACTTGATAGTGAGATCAGAGTTAAACGTCTTAAAGCACTTCTTGAAGAGACACAGGACTAACCTAGCAATCAGGACTGTATAGCGCACTTTCCCTCACCTTCACTTATAATCGTTTTAGCATTCCATGTCCATATCCAGAGTAAGGATAGTCATCTTAAAGACACTAAATAAAGCTTATGTTATGAATAAACACTTGTGGTATAATATAATATAAAATTCTTTATCATTAACGAAATGATTATATTGAGATTGTTACTGGAAAGATCAGAAATAGTTTTTTATTAAGTTACTGCTTTTCTATTGTCTTAGGTTCGGCTTTAGAGTGTGGTGAAGGGTACTTTTCATGGTGCATGGAAGGAAAGCCAATGCGCAGGTAGGCTTTTAGGAAGAAAACCTTCGGTTCACTGATTGAAATTAAGCACGTAATAATTCAGGACTTCATTTAATTTTTTTTAAAGGTTTTCAAACTTTACCAAATTCTGCTTTGAACTAATGATTCTTGTTCTAAAGTAAATAAAAACTATTATGAGGAATTAATCACTTTTGAAATAAGGGTCCAGTTTAGTACTTAAATTTCTAAAGGGCGTTCTGAATTTTATGTAGTTACTAACATTTAAATTTTCCTTTTTGCATGGTTTTTTTTTGTGATAAATAATCATTAAGTATAATATGATACTATATGGGTTCATTAGTCTTAATTACCTATAGAATGTAAAAGATTCTGTTGCCGTAGAAGAATAATAATTATTTGTAACACACTGTCCTGTATATCTAATTATGGTTTTGGTTATTTCATTGATGACCAATAATACATTTGTTCTGCGAAGTAAAATAGCTGCATTGCAGGAAAGATTGTTGAAGGACTAAAAAGGTATTGGACATAATAACTTAGCCCATAGAAAAATAGAACAGAGTGTAAGAAAATATAGACAATTACAAGCCCTCCCAATTCTAGAATTTAGTAATGTTTTTTCTTAATCTTTTCTAACAGATAAATCTAGAGTCCTTATCAAAACAAAATCAGCCTAGTTCTTTCTTTGTTGTTTAAACTCATTTTACATTTATTGAACTGTATGTAATCATTTGTTATTTAACATCAAAGAGGAACAGCTCTGGCAGACCCTCTTAAGAGAAGAAACATTTCATGATGGGGGTATGACTTTTGACTTAGAACCAGGAGCAAGAACCGGAATATCTATCTTTTTCCAAATCTATTATTGATTTTTTTGATTGACCTTGAGCTATTCGCTTTCTCTGTGTCCTAATTTACTTTTCTAATGTATCTGACCAGGATATTGGGAACTAATGGGTGCTTGCAAGTGCTTTGAGATCTCCAGATGAAAAGATGTTGTGGATGTAACAAATGTCGTTATCTTATTTGTATCTAACTCCAAGTAGGAATAATATTTGAAGAAATTAACAAAAATATATTAAATGCCTTACCACTTCATCCTTTATCATGGTTGCAAAAACCACTGATTGCTTCTCTTCCTCAGCTGCCATAAATGTCATATCTTATGTAATTGCTAAAGTAAGAGCTTATTATTTTTTAAAAAGGGAAGGCACAGCGTGGGAGTGTTTTTGGTTTATCAGTAATTTCTATATAAAATATTCACTTAATCATTCATACCTACTCTCTTTTTTCTTGTTTTATTATATAATACTGCCAGTTATTCAGAAATCAAGTTGGGGGGGGGTGCCTGGGTGGCTCAGTCAGTTAAGCATCTGCCTTGGGCTGGGGTCATGATCTCAGGGTCCTGGGATCAGCCCCACATCAGGGTCCCTGCTTGGCAGGGAGCCTGCTTCTTCCTCTCCCTCTACCCCTCCCCCAGCTTGTGCTCAAGCTGTTTCTCTCTCTCTCTCTCTCTCTCTTTAATAAATAAATAAAATCTTTTTTTAAAAAATCAAGTTGGGGAATTCTGGTGGCATTAACTTTTAAACTACACAGCTCTTTCTTCATCACCATCACATGGCCAGAGCCCAGCCTACCATTGCTCTCTGATTTAATTTTACTTTTGCTTACATTAAGTCACCTTTCCGTATTGGGCTGTTATTTTTGCTGCTGCAGCCGAGAAGGCAGTCTCTGTAAAGTAATGTTGGTTAATTTTATACTTAGCTGCTATTGGAGAAGCTTTGAATGAGAAGTAACTGTATACTAAGATTATTTGAATACATGTTCATTCTCCCCACTAGGATATAAGCTCTTTAAGTCTCATATGTCTTCCATATGTTTGTATCCCTGGCACCTAATGATTACTGAATAGTAATTCAAATAACCACACAATATCTGCAGACTTCTCCTCTGAGTGCCCCCTGCCAAAAAATATGAATGAGAGGAAGATTGAAAACTATTGTTAAAGGTATTCTAATGCTTAAAAATAAAGTTTTATGAAATTGGTTGATATTAGTAAAGCTTCATTGCATTCATTTAACTAGTCATTATGTGTACAGATACAGAATTTAAAAGATACAGTAAGATATTCAGTGAAAAATAAGTCTCCCAATGCCAATCCCAGCTCCCAGTTCTCCTCTTTATAGGCCACCACTATAAACAGTTTCTTACTCATTTTTTGTAGACATTATAATACATATACAATCATATATAGAATATCTCTTTTGTGAAAACACTAATGTCAGCATATCATGCACATTTTTCTCTTTCTTTTTTCACTTCCCACATTATTTTGTAGATGGTGACAAATACATATAGACCCACCATATTCTTTGTAATAGTTACATAGTATTTCATTGTCTGTAGGTGCCATAGTTAACCAGTCCTTTTCAGAGACATTTAAGTTATTTTGCTGTTATAACCAGTTCTGCAGTGACTATCCTTGTCAGTGGTTTTTGCCCAAATGTGTGTGTATAGAATAAATTCTTAGATGTAGAACTGCCCAAAAAGTATGTGTGTTTTTAAATTCTGGTAGATACTGACAAATTTCCTTCCTGAGAGATTATTCCAATCTATAGTCTCACTAAAAATGTGCCTGTTTCCCAGAAGATGGCTCTTTCCTCAATTAAGAATATTACCTTAGGAATAGAAGGTCTAAGGAATGTGTCACATGATAGCCCTGAAATTTGAAGGTGACTTACACATTTGGGTGGGTGGAAATGTTATTTACTTAGGGAGGTACCAAAATTTGTAACATTCCTTTGGTAAACATGAAGCATATTTAAGATACCTGATTTGTTCTTTGGTTTATGCTTCCTACCTGCACATGATTCGGTTATTGTCACTATTAAGAGAGATCAATATTCATAGAAATTACCCATCCTGGGGCACCTGGGTGGCTCAGATGGTTAAGCGTCTGCCTTCGGCTCAGGTCATGATCCCAGGGTCCTGGGATTGAGCCCCATATTGGGCTCTTGGCTCAGCAGGGAGCCTGCTTCTCCTTCTCCCTCTGCCTCTCCCCGGCTCATGCTCACTCTCTCTCTCTCTCTCTCAGTATCTCTGTGTCTCAAATGAATAAATAAAATCTTTGGGGCGCCTGGGTGGCTCAGTCATTAAGTGTCTGCCTTCGGCTCAGGTCATGATCTCAGGGTCCTGGGATCGGGCCCCACATTGGGCTCCCTGCTCAGCGGAAGCCTGCTTCTCCCTCTCCCGCTCCCCCTGCTTGTGTTTCCTATCTCGCTGTGTCTCTATCTGTCAAATACATAAATAAAATCTTTAAAAATAAATAAATAAATAAATAAAAATCTTTAAAAAAAATTACCCATCCTTTTACCTAGCCTACATTTCCTCGACTTCCTAAATTCTTGTGACTTTGACCTTCACTTACTTAAGTGTTTCATTCCTACTCTCACTGAGAACAACTTTCTCTCTGAAATCATAAATCCTCATACTTTTTTCCTGAGCATAACCTGTGAAACGCCCATTCCATCAGTTCTTTTATGTAGTCACAATCAACATGCCTTTGGCCCTTCTGTTTTCACACAGTTCACTTCTGCAACCACTTCAACCATTTTCTAGCCATCACTCAATTCCCTAGATTGTTCATGGCATTTCCGAACTCTTGATTAATGTAAACATTTATATTCCCTGATTTGAATGGTTGATTTACTGCTGGATGAAACCAACCATGGGATATTTGTGCTACTGTAATCAGAGTCTGTAATATTATTTGAGCCAACATTGTTCTCCAGCAGTAATTCTGAAGGTCCCTGGGTAATGCTTACTCATTCCCCACAGCAGCTGTGTCACATCTTCACCCATTCTCTCGTGATCCTGTCACTGCTCCTCTCACTGGCAGCAACTTCACAGAAAAAAATAGGGGCCATCAGGTATGAACTTCTCCAAGCTCCTGATGCCTCCTTCCCATAAAATAAATGTATCGTTTCCACCTTGTTTTCCCACCCCACTCCCTTCCTCTGATCTCTTATGTAAGCCCTTCTACCTTTTGTCTAAGAGTCATTCCTCTGTATTTTGGTTCCATACACTCCCACTCTTCAAAGATCTCACTCCATCATTTATTCTTTCCCTTTTATATTTTTTAATTTCTCCCTCCTCATTCTTCACATCAGTATATATCACTTTCCAGTCTTCCTTAACTTTAAACTGACATAGTATTGGATGTCTCTTCTCTTCACAGGTAAGCTTTATTCTAGAAATATTCCATACTCACTGTCTCTTTCTTTACCTTCATTGACCACTGCCAATGACTACCTCAGGTTTTTACTGAAAGTTTAGGATAATGAAGTTTTTTGGCTACTCATCATTTTCTTACTGGCTGTCCCTCCTTAGATCACAACCTGCCACCATTTTTATCAGTTCCTCTTTCCTTCCCTTCTTTCTTTCTTCTAAGTTACTGTTACTTTATTATACTGAGCAGTTTAGTCTCTTTGTTATAATCCTGGTATCTTTAGAAGAGGTTAAAAAACAAAATCTTGTATCTTTAGGTAGTTCATATAAATGTGGGGCACAGCTTCACAAGACAAAGAGTGGTGGGGACTGTGGTGAAGTAAGAGTACAAGCCCTCCTAATGATACTCAAATTCAATTTCAATTTCAATCTCAAAACAAAACAAACCAAAATGGACAGGCAAAAATCCTTCTGATGGTCTTTATCATTCCAGGGGACCCTCACCTTGCCTTTTATAATTAAAAGGCCTAAATACTTGTTTTCTCAAAAGCACCATCTGTCTCTGAAATAAATGTTGTTCTTTTTCCCAGAATGTAAAAGAACAATAATTGAAAATTTTTAATAGCATTTTTTTCCTTCTCACCATATGTAGAGATTCAAATGTAGTAATTATAGTTTCTTAAACTGATTCCATAATATCTGATGCCTGCCTTACAGAATTTTTTAGATTTATTGACGTTTTGGTAAATATTAATCCTTCTTGTTTTATTTGATTTTATATGTTTGATAATGAC